GTAAAAATACGGGTCTTCGTAATTCTATTCTACACAAACCTTTTCCCTTATTTTCTTAATCTAGCTGTCCGTATCGGTAAATACAGATCTTTTCTTCTACTTCTATATTTATTTATTCCACGCCAATCATTTCTTTACTTGTTCCTTATTTACTTCAATATTTTTTAGTAAACGGTGGAAAAAAATTCATCAAAAAAATTTGCTTTGAGAGCAAAATAAAACTTCAACATACCGCATACGTATATAGCTTATTAAACCCCGTTTATTTATTTTTTTTAAAAAAAATTCTGAACTAAGCTACTTCCTACATTTAGACCAGCCATGGACCATGGTATATGGTCGCGTCCTAGCCATTTTTAATAGTTACTATTTACTATATTTATTATTATTATTATATGCTTAGTTTAGAATAATAACGGTCTTTTATAGTTACCTTTGTATTAGGCGGAAACGGTAATGCAATTCTTTAAAACGTTAGTCGCTTAAAGCGTCAAAAGTCATGCAAAAAAATAAATTATAAATTTTGTGGTTTAAAAGTTGAAAAACTAATAATAATATAACAAAAAGTTTGGTAATTTTTAAACGTTGTTATTTAGCTCTTACTTATGGTATTTATTTTGTTTTCATTTTACATTTTTAAAAAATGTTGAAGCGCCTCACTACATGCATAACTTTGATAGCTCACAAGTTAAGTGCGCTGTCATCAGATTCGCTGTGCAAGGCTTCAAATCCGCGCCTAAAAAATCTCAATACATTTTTTTTAATTTTTTTAATCTGGCTATATTTATAGCAAAAAATTAAATATAACAAAAAACCTTTTAATTGCTTTTTTTTTCCCTGCCTCCACTGCAATACCATGTGGAGTAGCAGGACGGTTTCATCAAATTTTTTCTTTATTAGGTTTTAGGACCTTTTTTTTTAAGACTATCCGTAGCTTATTAGGACCAATTATGTGAGAACAGTATCAAAATCGTGACACACACGCAACAAATTTTCGCCCCGTTTATTGGTGTTTTTAGAAATCCAAAAAATTTATAAAATTTAAAAAGAAAAAACGGTTAAAGTGTATAACATTTAACTTGTTTAACTTCACAAATATTTTGTAATTTAAAGAAAAAAGTCGCTTGTGGTAAATTTGAACCACGACTATTACGTTCAGAAGCTTAGCGCGCTAACCACTCGTCCATGCAGACACATCAAATATCGAAATTTTAAAAATATATAAAAATTGTTTTTAACGGAATTGCTGTAGATCAAAAAATAAGGAGAGGTTGACGCAATGCAATTTTTAAGTCAAAGTCAAACTATAAAACTTGAAAAATGTTTCAGTATGTTTAAACATTACTAAATTACGTACGTTAGATATTTGCATACACGTTTTCTTCTAAAAAAAGTGCTGCGACTCTTTCTACTAACACTACTATTAAGTTCGGCATTATTATGTAGAAGATAGATAGATTATAAAATAGTTTTTCACTTAAAAGGACAAACTCTATTCCACATTAACCTTATCTCTATTTCTCCCTCTAATATTTTTTAGTGAACAATAGATTATGTGCTAGAAAAAAAAAATTCACATATGCACCTTTTCCGTATATTTATATTTAGAGCTTAACATGAAGAAGGTAAATCATTTAATTCAAGACAACCTGCCCAAACCCAAATCCTCTGTTGATTTATGCACACTCACTGTGGCTAGGCCTGTAAAATAAGTATCTAGGCAAGTCAAATAAATTAACTTGATCTGTTTTTCTGCATAAAACAAAAACAGAAAATGTGAAGTATTTGATAAAAGGTACTGTAATATTGGATTTAGTTAATTCAATACAAAGTGATAGGAAACTGCAAAATAAGGTAACAACGTGAAAATTATTCAAATACTAATTTACAACAATTTGTATTGCGTTTTATTAAAATAGCTTTATTAAATGGTATGAAGATTGATGATTCTTCTTATTCGCCTTTAGAAAATGATTAACGATTTGAAAGACTTTTAATTTGATTATAAAAGCATTATCTAAAAATGAAATAAAATCATTATTGATAACACTGAATGCATATTTATTTGTTTTATGTTAATTCATTTGAAAAATGAAAAATACGAAACGAAATTTAGTAATATTAAATAAATATTAGACACTTACTTTGTGAGAGTGCTTTTGTAAAAGTCTCTAATATTTGGTTGGAAGGCTGGAAATACTCTTTTTTTAAAAAAATTCAGTTTTATCAGCATTGCTAAAGATAAAAATTCTTACTGACACAAAAAAATTCGGCATTTTTTCTTAAAATATTTCTTGGCTTTTAGTGAATGATTAGGAGTAAGTTTCAGTAATGAAGCTACCCAATAATCATTTTTAACGATAGACACCAACGTGAAGGTAAGCCAAGCTGTCTATCAACACAAAACATCACAAAAACAATACAGGATGACAAACAATAACACCAGTAGTGTAGGCAGGATTTTTGTTGTTTCAGATATATATTTAGAAGCTGTTGAAGAGTTTAACTTTGTTATGTCTAAAAAAATTCAGGTTAGGAAAAACACTTTTTTTAAACATTTGTTCCTAAGCTTTAACAACATCAATTTTTTGCAAAGTATTTTAATTCTATAAACGTGAATACACTTAAGTTTGGTTGAAAGTGCTATCTGAAGCATCAAAAGACCCTGCCTATGCTACTGAATACACATAGCATCAAATATTTGTACATAACACATTTGCACATAACACAAAATATTCAGATTATGTGTTTCCAGAATAATTAAAAAAGCTAGACAACACAACCTAGCTCAACACTTGTAACACTGCTTGGCACTAAACGCTGCCAAGTAACACCACAATTTAGTAACACCGCTTGGCATTAAGTGCCAAGTAACACCACTAATTAGTAACACCGCTTGGCTAGCAAGAATCACAATCTTGCACTACACGTTGCCAAGTAACACCACTTTTCACATGGAAACAACTTAATATAAACTTGTATAAACTTAAGCACATAAATATAAATAAAGATATATAAACGCATATAAACACATACATTTATATACACATATAGCAAAAAAAAAAAAAAAAAACATACAAAAAATATAAAACACATATAACACATAATATACTTGTCAAAATTATAAATTAAGAACATTTGTAAAGACAACATTATTTGTGTAATGTTTGTTAAATGACATACCTTGTAATGGATGTTTATCAACTTTGAAAAACAAACTATTAAATAATCTTGTTCTTGAACATGCAACATATAATTGGCCGTGTGAAAAGCAAGGCTTTTTAAGATAAACACCAACTTTTTCAAATGTTTGACCTTGACTTTTATTTATGGTCATTGAGTATGCTAACCTAACTGGAAACTGATTGCGTTTAAGTGTAAAAGGTAAATTTGCATCTGATAGAGCTAATTGAACTCGAGGAACAAATACCCTGTTACCAGCTGATACACCTGTTAAAACCTCACCATCAATATAATTGTTGTGTAATGCACGCACCATCAAACGGGTTCCATTACAAAGTCGACCTTTGAGATCTAAATTTCTAAGTAGCATTATAACAGCACCAATTTTTAATTTTAGGCAATGAACAGGCATACCTGATGGAGTCAAACTATTTAAAAACTCGACTGGAAAGTTATTAATTTCATTAAGATCATCAGTATCAATGCTATCTGAACTTAAATGTGTTTTCACATCACCGGGTAAACGATGAAGAACCTCTTCATTTATTGCCAATAAATCAACATTTGTTGGCGTTAAAATAGCACGTTTTGCATAATCAGCTTCTTCTGCACCACCGAAAATCTTCTCCACAATAGATTCATTATCACTGAGAAAGCACTGCTCAGGTATTTCAATACACCCTCGCAAAGGATCTTCAGGCTTGACAGGTAATGTTCCACTTCCAAGCTTTAAAAGCCATTGAGAAAATTCCTCTTCTTCTATCTGAACCCTCATATTTACAGTTAATGAGAACCTTTGCACATATTGCCAATGTTCAGAACATTTTAAACATGATTCTATAACTTCTGCTGGTCGACCTCGCTTCACAACTGGAAGTATTTGTCTGAAGTCTCCACCCATAAGAATAACCTTACCACCAAAAGGAAAATTGTTATTACAAATATCTTGTAATAGCTTATCAATGGCACTCAAAGCATATTTGGGTATCATAGATGCTTCATCAAGTAAATACAAACTGTTTTGTCTCAGGAATCTACCATGAATAGAGTTTGGAGTTACATTACATGTGCTAGTTTCCAAAATTGGAACAGGAAGTTTAAATAAGCCATGCATTGTGCACCCATTTTTGAGAAGAGTTGCAGCTATTCCTGTCCATGCAGCTGCTGCAGTTCTAATATGCCTGCTCTGTGTTTCAGAAATTAAATAATTGTAAGTAAATGTTTTACCACAACTGGCAGGCCCATCCATAAAAAAACAACCTTGAATGCTTATTTTCATTAGTAGATTCCACACTTAGTGCAGCAAGGATCGCATCAGCTACATTACGTTGATTATCATTCAATAATGGTCTAACTCGGTTTGCTTCATCAATAAACACCTGAACATCTTCATCATCATTTTCTGGGACATTATCTAAAAACTGATCTAAAGCTGGCAAATTATAATCAGCTAAGGTTTTACCACTCTGATTAATTATAGATTCAATTTGACGAAGAGCTGCCTGCTCAGCAAGTACGACTGGCATTGAATGGTGTATGTAATCCTCAACCATATAATTTTTAAATGTATTCCAAAGGTGTAAAGGATCATCAGGTTCACATAAAGTTAATATGATGGAAAACAGTAGCCTAATTTGTTTAGGCATCCGAGTTGCAGCAGCTTCAGTTAATGTATTTCTCCACTCAATGTCATCTTGCAATAAACCTAAATGATAACATGCTTCACGAAATGTATTAAAATCAGTACCATGAACAGTACGCAAACCCTCAAAAGACTTTGCACCTTTTACATGCAAAAGTAACAATCTGAGAAAAAATAATTCGCAAAATGAACTGACTTTATACATTCGAACAACCACCTTATCACTACCTCTTTGTCTTACTTTCCACATGCAATTTTTACCAAAAACAAAGTGATATGGAATTTCAACATAAGAATACTGACGTGCTTCATTATTTTCAGCATTTAACTTAAACCAAGCGGTTAGGTGAGTGTCACGCTGTGCTGCACGATCTATAGCTACTTGTTCTTCTCCTTCGTTAAAATATACTCTCTGATTATCAGGAAGGTGGATTTGAAGGCGGATAATAGTATGTGACATATCACTTATGAAATACTCATATATTCGCCAAAGAGCGTCTGGGGCGGAAACAAAGCGACAGTCTAAATATGTGTTAATTTCATCATGGTCAACACTTTCATTAATTACCACATTCGCACAATCATGCCCCTTATAGACATATTTGTATAAATACTTCACTGACTTAATAGACATGCAAGCTTCAACATTAATGTGGGCTTGGTATTTTTTTGATAACCAGGGGTTATAGGGTACGACCCATCGATTATCAACTTGGTTACCTTTTATAATGACTACTCTACCATTATCTAAACGCTTGTAGTTAGGATAACCATTGAAAATTGCAACAGTGCAAGGATTAAACTCTTTAGGAAATTTTTTTGTGCAAACTCCATCTTTCATGCAAGGAGAATTGGGATTTAAAATCCCATATGGTCCATGAATCATACATGTTTTTACAATTTCAAAAAGTTCAGGATCAACAGTTTGATCTGGAATTTCAGCTGATATTAAACTATCAATATCCTCTGCTGTTTCTAGCTTATCATCGTTTACAAAGTGTAATAAAAAATGCACATGTGGCAAACCACGTTTTTGAAACTCAATAACCTGTACATGACTTACAACTTTGCCTAAGACTCCATGTTTAAAAATGTCACCTAAGAAGCATTTAAGTTTCATCTTAAATACACGACAAACTAAATCAGGCCTGTCAGTTGCGCTCTCACCTGGATTTAAATTTTCTGTAATTTCTATCCATTTTGAATTACAGGTAAAAGTAATAAAAAGATCTGGTTTACCATATTTCTTTATAATTGCCATTGCATCTTCAAATTTTTCTTTTAAAGCTCTTGGACTTCCAACGTATGAGGATGGTCGTATAACAACACGACCTGGTCTTACATTAAGGTTATTTGCAACATTATTTACATACTCATGTAATGTATCGTATTGTTCACTTCTAAGTTTGTTTTAGTTATTTCTGATAAAAGCAAGGCGCTGTCCTTCAATCTTGACATATGCATCAACAGCATACTGTTGAAAAAGTTTCTTACTATAAAATCTTGGACTGAACGTTTGTCTAATAGAAAGCCTATAATTGTAGTACTGAGACAAAGTAACACGATTTCGAACACGTGTTGCTCGGTCAGGATTGTTCTAGTCTAGTTGATCATGCCATCCTGCATCACCTCTTGGAAAAAATATTGGATATATCATTGGATCTAGATTTGCAGACATACTTGAAATTGTTTTTAAGGGTTGACCTCGAGGATAAATAACAACTTCTCTAGATGGAGGTGGAGCACCATCATTTCCTACAAACACAATGGCAACCTCTTCATGTGATGGAAGATTGTATCAACGTCTATCACAACCCTCAAGCAACGACATTTTGACAACAGAAATCGGTCGACCTTCTATAGCAGCTTGACGAATTTCTGCATCTTCAACTTCTGCCATGTTTTTAAATGCAAGCGCATATGGGTTCTCCTGATTAATTATAGTCTGCAAAAGTTCTATTAACTCACGTATGCAACAATCATTTTGCTCCATTCAAAAGTTTAAAGCAGTATTAGGATCATAAACATATAATTGACAATAAGCAGGTGGATCCCCTTGCTGATGTCTTAGATTACCAATACGATGCATAATTTGCCCACTAATTCTAAAACAGGGTGGACCACGATTTGACGGAGGATCTATTGTGGCTATGAATGAAGCAAAAGATAGACAGGCTTTATAATTTCGTATATGCTTGAAAAAATTTTGATTCAAAGCACGATCAACATGGTTGCCTGTCATTAAATAAAACATCAGCGGTGGATAAGGTGAAAGTGGAGGTAAGACAACCTTTCCTGAATGGCAGCACAAAAAATGTGTTTCATTTAAAAATTTTTTAGCACCACAATACTGACAATTATGGTTCATTTCTCCTAGGTAATTACTCTCTATAAAAACATTATTTCTTGCTATGCAATGCATTCCACGCCTAAATAATACTCGTCTAGCCTCATTTCTTTCATTTTGGCGACGATTAACTTCTTCACGTCTAGCCTCATTCCTTTCATTTTGGCGAGGATTAACTTCTTCACGTCTAGCCTCATTCCTTTCATTTTGGCGACGATTAATTTCTTCTTGCCTAGCCTTATTTCTTTCATTTTGGCGACGATTAATTGCTTCTCGCCTAGCCTCATTTCTATCATTTTGGCGACGATTAATTGCTTCTCGCCTGGCCTCATTTCTTTCATTTTGGCAACGATTAATTTCTTCTCGTCTGGCCTCATTTCTCTCATTTCGACGATTTCTTCTATTTTCAGCTCTTAAGTTACTTGACATAATTGAGAAATTATTTATGTTTGATAAAACTTTATCTTATTAATTTTTTGCTATACTAATCTAAAATGAACAAAAACAATAAAGTGCTATTTATCAGTTTAAACCTATGAAACTATGTGTATAGCGTCTAATAAAATTTGTGAACAAAAGATATAACTAAACTGGTTTGAAACAGAGAAAAAGCCAGAAGTATCTTGTAATAACATACTATATTGTAAGTAATAAAACAGTATTTTTTGAAACAAATAAAAAATTTTATTATTTTAAAAGTCATATTAATGGTAATATTAAAAAGCAAAATTAGTTACATATTTTTAAATGACATGCCAACAATTGCAAACATGTTGCATCATATAGACCACATGTGGCTGACAACTGATTTTAAATACTATTTTATAATATATCTAAAGAGAATAATGTAAAGAGATTAATAGGTGTATAGTGCATATATTAGACATATTAAACAGATATCATAGAAAAAAAAAAACTTTAAATATATTTACCAAATCTTTCAAAAACTATATAACACTTAACAAATAAAAGTTAATACAAAAAAAAATTTAGTATTATTAAAATTAAAAATGAGGATAAAAAGATGTAAAAACGTAAATTAATCAAAAAACTTATAGACAAATTATTAAAAACTTTTATAACATAAGAGTTCTTTGTAAGTTTAGGATTTAAAAACAGAATTAAAAATCAAAAAAATAAAATAGTAAAAGTATATAAATTAAAATAATAAAAAATTGCGAAATTAAAAAAAACATTTTTTTAAAAAGTCAATTTTCTTTATAAATAAAAAAGAAGATAATTCTACCAGTAGTTTAAAAAAGCTACTGGTAGAAATTAAAAGAGTTAAACCGCTTTCCAGCACCCCTCCTTCTACCAGTGGTGTCATATGGGGCTTGTCTCCTCCATCTAAAGGAGGGATCATCTCCCCCATATTGACTCCACCGGTAGAAAGCTCTTTGAGATATCGGACCTGGGTGCTGGGAGCGATATCGCAGGAAATCTTGATACGATGCTAAAAAACAAAAACAAAAAAAGAAATAAATTTGAATACAATACTGCACAAAACAACCAATAAAAATATTATTTAAAACTATTTAGACTTCAAAAAAAAAAAGTTATGACAAAAAAAATAAATAAATAAAGTAATGTAAAAATAAGTATATGCAGTGTTTAAATTTCATATATACCTACACAAATACACATAACACCCACAAAACTGCATAAGTATGCAAAACAGATTACCTAGTGGTCCTGCAGATATTGTTGCTATTATGGAAATAAATAAAAAAGTATATGAACTAACACATATATTAAACAGTTATGTAATTGCATACAAACATGAAAAAAGTAATGTTTAGGTTTCAATACACATAACACTGCATAAGTACGGAAAAACCGCATAAGTATGGAAAACACATTACCTAGTGGTACTGCAGTTGATACTGTTGCTATTGCGGAAATAAATAAAAAAGTATATAAACAAACACATATATTAAACAGTTATGTAATTGCATACAGACACGAAAAAAGTAATGTTTAAATTCCAAAACACATAACACTCATAAAACTCCATAAGCATGCAAAACACATTACCTGATGGTACTGCAGATGATATTGATGCTATTGTGAAAGTAAAAAAAAAAAAAGTGTATAAAGTAACATATGTTAAACATTAATGTAATTGATAACAAACATGAAAAAAGTAACGTTTAAGTTCAAATACACATAACACTCATAAAACTGCATAAGTATGCAAAACACATTACCTGATGGCACTGCAGATGATATTGATGCTATTGTGAAAGTAAAAAAAAAAAAAGTGTATAAAGTAACATATGTTAAACATTTATGTAATTGATAACAAACATGAAAAAAAAAAAATTAAGTTTCAATACACATAAAACTCATAAAACTGCATAAGTATGCTAAACAGATTACCTGATATTATTGCTTGAGGTGCTAATGTATAGACAAAAAAATAAATAAATAAAGTGATGTGCAAAATAAGATATGCAATCTTCAAGTTTTACATTAAATTACATCATTACCTGATGGTACTGCAGATGATATTGATGCTACTGTGAAAGTAAAAAAAAAAAAAGTGTATAAAGTAACATATGTTAAACATTAATGTAATTGATAACAAACATGAAAAAAGTAACGTTTAAGTTCAAATACACATAACACTCATAAAACTGCATAAGTATGCAAAACACATTACCTGATGGCACTGCAGATGATATTGATGCTATTGTGAAGGTAAAAAACAAAAAAAAAATGTGTATAAAGTAACATATTTTAAAAATTTATGTAAATGATAACAAATATGAAAAAAGTAATGTTTAAGTTTCAATACACATAAAACCCATAAAACTGCATAAGTATGCAAAACACATTACCTGATTGTACTGCAGATGATATTGATGCTATTGTGAAAGTAAAAAAAAAAAAAGTGTATAAAGTAACATAAGTTATACATTTATGTAAATGTTTACAAACATGAAAAAAGTAATGTTTAAGTTCCAATACACATCACACTTATAAAACTGCATAAGTATGCAAAACACATTACCTGATGGTACTGCATATGATGACATTGGTGCTATTGTAAAGGTAAAAAAAAAATTGTATAAAGTAAAATATCTTAAATATTTATGTAATTGCATGAAAACAATAATGATTAAGTTTAAATACACATAAAACCCATAAAACTGCATAAGTATGCTAAACAGATTACCTGATATTATTGCTTGAGGTGCTAATGTAGAGACAAAAAAATAAATAAATAAAGTAATCTGTAAATTAAGATATGCTATCTTAAAGTTTTAACACACATAACACTCTTAAAACTGCATAAGAATGCAAAACACATTACCTGATGGTACTGCAGATGACGCTATAGTGAATATAAACATATACTAATCAATTAAACAGTTTATTTTAGAGTGATAAAACCGCACACAAACATCAAAAAATGTGTGTTAAAATTAAACAAAAAGAAACATAAGTGTACTTTGCTTACCAATGGAATTTTCTAAATTTTCTAAATAGAATAAAAAAAAACTCATTAACGTTAGGAAAGAAACTAACATGCAGAATATTATTAACTTTAGGAAATCTATAAATAAAGTTGGAACAAAACAAAAGGCAAAAGTAACAATCACAAAACAAAACAAACCAAAAAAGAAAAAAGCGATAAAAAAAATAAAAAATAAAAATAATAAAAACAATCCACAAGAACAATATAGTAACTTACTAAGTTGTTGAAATATAAACCCTACAAAAAAAAAATGCTAAAAATTGTATCAAAAAAGCTAAAAGACCATAGAATACACCTTTTTTTTTGAAAGTAAAATGCTATATCTTTATCTATAATACACAAATGTTATATAATCAAATTCTGTTTACCCATTGAATGTTCTAATTTTTCTAAATAAAATGAAAAACTTATAAACATTAAAATAAACTAACTTGCCAAATATAGAATAATTTTATGTTAAATAAATATGTAATAAAAAAAATAAAGAGCATTACAACAACAATAACATATTGCTTACTTAGATTCTCAACAGAATCTTCTAATTTTAGTAAATAAAATAAATTTAAAAGTTACAAAAGTCACTTGCTGACTGACAAACTGTCACAACTGACAAAAGTCAGTTGCTAAATAACTTTAAAAAAACTAAAAAAGCATAGATGTATTTGCACACAAAAAAAAACAAAAAACAACAACAAAATTCCTCACTTAGCTTGTCCATTACTTCCGCTAAACATTAAAAAAAAGTTATAATTAACAAATTAAAATATATATCTTTGTAACATATCCTTCTCATACAAAATTAGCTTACTTGGCAAGAGCTCTTCGGCTCTGATCTCTTGAACATCTAATATATATATAGACAAAATTAATTTTCAAAATATTTACTTTTTCAATTAAACATATAAGATTTGTCTTAAATTATAAAACTGTTGCACAGTTTTATAATTTTACACATTCAGTAAATGACAAAAAGTTTCATTTTACGTAAAAGTTTAGTAGTTAGAAGACTTAAAAGTCAATTTTAGTTTAAACACGTTTTATAAAATTATAGCTTAAACACCTTAAATAAAGCTTATACGCGTTTTTAAGGTTCACTGCTTTACAAAAACATCAATCAAAATAGCGGAATAAACAAAAACTGAGTTTTGGGTCCACCCTTTTAAAGTTCTAAAAATTAATTTATATATTTTTTAATTTTAGTTAAATTTTAGGGCGGTGTACTTGATTCACGGGGTTAGGGAAGGGCGGCATATCTTGATTGATTTTAATTAAAAACGGCTGAATTAAATCATCGTTTTATTCACACCGTAAATCAAGTACAGCTCCGCCACTTTTAGAACATATGTAACTGCTACTATATATAGTATATATATATGGCTTACTTCGAAAAAATGCAGAAATTTCTTCGTCGCCTAAAGATATACAAAATTATCTTAATGTAATTTCTTAATAAAATAATAAGCTAAATATCTCAGTATTATTGACTTCTCATCTCTTTTTATCTCTTTAATTAATTAATGTTATACAAAATTAAAAGAATACCTTCTGTATCTTGGCTGCTCATTTCTAAAAAATAATCTTAATGTTTATTCTTGGGTCAAAAACATATTAACTTCAAACATATTAACATGGTAATTATAAAATAAGTTTAATTTTTTAAATGAAGATTACAATAATTAAACTTGTAGATACAACTTACTTGTCGTCCTTCGCTTTGCAATTGTTATAATCGATATAAAGACCACATGGCCGAGTTTTATTGGTTTTAGAGTACAGTTGGCGCACATATCATAATACAAAATTCAGATGGTTTTGAATCTATTAATTAAGCTGTTTTTATTAACGGATTTGGTGGATTTAATTAGATAACTAAAAATAGTGGTTTAAGAGTTGGCGTACGTTTCGTAATACAAAAATCATTTAATATTTGTTTATATCTTAATATTCGAGCATTTCTATTAGCGGATTAGGCGAAATTTTGTGGGTTTTCTGTTTGTCACCTTCTGGAGTAACTAAATTTTTTTTTTTAGGTTTTAGATTACATTTTTTTTTTCATACCTTTCCGTACTTTTTAGGACTCTTGACCAGTTAGTTTTAATAAAATTTTCAGATTGCATGTAAAACCTTTTTTTTATATATATAAGAAAGAAAGTTATCTCTTTAATTCGCAGTTTTAACTAATTACCTAAAACATAAGTATCTCTATCATGACATATGCGCAACAAATTTCCAACAGCGTTTTTATGTTTTTAAAAATTTTTAAAAACGTTTTAAAAAATTCTCTACGTTTGGTTTCTTATAGTATATTATATTTTTATTTTTATGTAATGCGTATAACATCTATATGCATTTAAACTTGTTTTTTTTTGTTTTCTAGAAAACTGGATAGAATTTAAAAAAAAAATTGTGTAAGCAAAAGGTTTTGAACCGAAGCGAAGCACTTCAATCGCTGTGGAATGCTATATCATCTTTTTACACTATTTAATAAACAGAAAACTTATTAAACTTTAAAAAACAACATTTAATTCTTTAAAATAAAGAGATATTGTCGCAATGAAATTATTAAGTAAAAATAAATCGGTAGAATTTGATGTCATCTACTTTATAATTATACTGATTGATAATTAAAGAACTTAAAGTTTACATATTTAGATTTTGAATAGACTTTCGTTCACATTGATAAAATACAAATCATAACGGATTGTGGTTCCGAAAAAAAAGGTTAATACACTACCATTTATAATTATTGGAAAGGTCATATTTTTTAATATCAAAGATATCAAAGTTTGGCGAAAAAGTGAAAACAATGTCTACCTGAATTATATGTTATCTTTCTATTTATTAGGTTTACCAATAAAACTTCCCTGATTAGTTTATAATTTATTCAAAGCCCTGATTAGCTTTTAATTTATTTGCCTATTAATCACCCTTAACAACAATAACCGCCATAAATATATTCTTAGCATTCTACTTAACGACTTATCTAATTAGTCTATTTTGTCACTAAGTATAAAAAAAAAAATACCCATGTATAAACTGAATATCAATTTATCTATTTAATTTAATATATATAATATATAATTTAATATAAATAATTTAATCTAATTAATATAACTGAAATACTACTAATCAATTTACTGATATTTTTTCTATGGCATTGTTAAAAATAGTCATATTCTGAAAGGTAAAGAAATTTATTGAAAAGAAAGTTGCACAAAAGAAAAAAAAAACTAAATAAAAGTTATTCGTTTCAAAAAACGTTTTACGTTTTTTGAAAACGTTTCAAAATAAGTTTTTCTAAACAATTTTATTTTTAATTGGGTTTTTTTTTGAATTACGTCATCAGCATATTAAGGCGTTTTGAAAAACAGTTGCTGCGTATATTTATAGTAAAAAAGTTAATGTAGCAAAATAAACTTTTAATTGTCAAAAGAAAGTTTTAACGTTTTATCTAGCTACAAGCTTTTTTTTTTTGCCTCCACAGCAGCATCTTATGAAGTGTCTTATTAAGTTTTTTCTTTATTAAGTTTCAGACAACTTTTTTTTCAGACCACCCGCAGCTTGTTAGGACTAATTACATTCGCACATTAATAACATAAGTGTCTCAATTATCATAGATACGCAACATATTTTTTCTCCTGGTGATGTTTTTTTTTTTTTTTTAATGTTTTATGAAGTTTTAGCATTCTTAAAATCTTTTCTTTTGTGAGTGCATAATATTGTTACGTTACATATGTTTGTATATAATCTTTATAAAACTTCGAAAATATTTTGTGTTTTAAAATAATTAAAAAAATTAAAAAAAATAGCCGCCTTTGGTAGGAGTCGAACCTCTAGTTCCTTGTTCAGAAGTTCGCCGCCTTATCCACTTGAGCTACACCGGCATATCATCGAGTGTAGATTTTATAATAATGTAGTAATTTTTTTGAGGAAAAAAATGTTAGATCAAAATTAAGGAGAGGTTGACGCAATGTAATTTTCAAGTAAAAATCAAACTGTAAAACGTGATAAATGTTTCAGTTTGTTTTAACATATGCTTTAACATTACTTAGTTTAAAGTTTACGTACGTTAGATATTCGTTCACGTTTCTTAAAGTGCTGCGACTCTTTCTTGCCAATACCTCGGTTGCAATGGCTGCCAAGGGTTTCGTGTCAAATACGCTCCAAGGGACACTACTACTACTATTAAAACTATTAAGTTCGGCAATATTATATAGAAGATTGTTTAATGTTTTTTCTATATAATCTGTTATATAATTGTAGAAATAATAATTATATATTTTCTTGCTAACATACATCAATAAAATAACATAAATGCAGAGTTATTGTTGTTAATTAGAGTATTAGAATTTTCCTTCTGTGTAGTTAATTTTTCATGTGCTGACCATTAAATTAAGTGACTTTTCCTTGCCTTTAGAGGCATGAAAAGGGTTAGACCTTTTGTATGAGGAATTTTTTTTGCCAAATTATTGTGTAAAATTGGTATCGGTAAAAATATTGTGGAAATGAATATTCACACAAAATAGAGTCTAGATCTCAAAATTAGGATACAGGTACCCAGGTAATTGGATCCAGAACTTGTATCCAACTATGTCCTACATATTAGGGTTTTATTCTGGTTTTAAAATTAAAGTGTCATATTTCTAATCATCTCAGATGCCCTTTTACTTTAAACTAAAAATTACAATGACACTCTCATTTTAACACCAAATTAAAACTCTAAAGTATGCACAGGGGATCTGTGTGATTGTGGATTAAAGTTTTATTTTGATAGATAGATTTTTATTTGTTCTATTTTCTGTTTATCTCTGATTACTCTTGATATTTGTTTATGCAGGTGCAGTAAGAAAACTATCCCTAAGCGACAATTAGTCAACCGGACAAGATGCTGCCAAAATGGCTATCAAGTTCAATTGACATGGATGGTCTCAAAAAAATCGCTAAGAGAGGTGTAGAGGAAAGTTCTTTAGAAGATATTTAATTTTTATATTAAATGTAATGAAGTGTTTTTTATAATGTGTTTATTTTCTTTTTTACATTGTTATTTTATTGGATATTGGTTGAGAATATTTATCGAATAAATTTCTTTTATATGACTTATGTTTTTTGAATTTTATTTCAAACAAATCGACATATCTTTTATTTTAAAAAGATTACTTTAAAAAGAAATTCAGTGTATTATTCTATGTATTACAAGTTTGTTAGCATGGAAATGACGATTCTAAGCTCTTGCAACCAAAAAAAAAACATGTGTTAATATATAAAGTGCCGAGAATAGGAAATATTAGGCTTGTATTGGCAAATATTAGGGTTGAATTAGCCAATATTGGGCCTGACTTGCCCAACGTTGGGCCAGTATTAACCTAAATCGCCCCATTAATGGTCGATGATAGGGCCAATAATAGCCCAATATTGGAGTCATGATTTTTCCAGCAATCGGCCAATGTTTACCCAATAAAGGCCCAATTTACGCTCCCCAATATTTGTCCAATGTTTGCGGCAAATATTTGCCTAATATAGTAGCAAATATTTGCTCAATCATGGCTCAAGAAATTTGTGCTATCTCGGATATATATATATATATATATATATATATAT